CACTCACAGCAAAAAGTACATTAGAAAATAGCTATGGTGACATGATAATGAAAGTAAATACAAACTACTGAGACAAGGATCATCTTGGTGGTCGTTTTGATTTGATAGTATGTTGAGATAACATGCTATAGTTTGCAGTCTGCATGTGCAGAATGAGCTTTGTGATGATTATCACTCATGATCTACAAATCTGTATGCCGTTATTGTACAGATGAATAAGTTACGAAGCTCCAAAATGAAATCACCTTTTAACAAAGCCATTAATAAAGATGTTGCATTTGTCATTAATTAAAGGCCGAACAGGACAATGGAGGACTATGTAAGAAAACCCTGTTTAAGTGTGTTAAAATTCTTACTGTCTTTCATAATCTAATATAAAGAAAAACACTGGGTGTTATCAATTTATATATTTGTCCTCATTTATTAATGTATGCTAATTAAAAAGTAAGCAACCATTCAATGTACAGTAGCAGTTACAGAAATAATTTTTGAGTCTTGTTTATTTTGTGAGGGAATACATCATAAGCAAGAGGGACTCTTTAAATTTAGTCTGCATGACTGCAGTCACAAAAAGCCAATTTATAGTCTGTGTCTTGTTCAGCTTCAATTAAGTTCAGCCTAGCTGTCAGTTCTCTTTTCTGTCAGTAACTGACACTATGGGGGAGATTTACTAAAAGTGGTGCACTCAGAATCTGGTGCAGCTGTGCACAGTAGCCAATCAGCTTCTAACTTCAGCTTGTTCAATTAAGCTTTGACATAAAACCTGGAAGCTGATTGGTTTCTTTGCAGAGTTGCACCAGATTTTTCATGCTCCAGTTTTAGTAAATCTGCCTCTTGCATTAGCGTAAGAGAGCACACAGGGCTTAGGTTATGAACATTCTTATCTTTTTTCCAGCCAATCTCTAGGAGCTTTTTTTTGCCAGTGGTGCATCATGGGAAAGGGTATAAATATTTGGGGTTAGCTGATGCAAGCCCTTTCTCCCCAGTTGCAGCCTGGGGAGGATGCATGTTCTTTAGGCCTGCTTGCCTAAAAAGGTGCCTAGATGTGACTAGGCCTTGAGCATAGGTCTGTATATAACTGGATTTGAAATTGTCTCCATGTGAATACAGGGTGTAGTCCCAAAGGGTGGTAATGGTTTCTCATGCAGAAAAATGGGCATAGGATGGACTCTCAGTTGGTGCTGGTCAACTCTCCTAGTAAAATGCGGTTCGTAGTGGTGATTTCTACTGATGATTCTGTACACAGGAGTGTTGAACTTGACTTAAAGATCCATATCCTGTGTATTAATGTGTGAAGAGTTTTGCTTTAACATGTAGCATCTGTAATCCTAGCTCTCTCTCCCATGTAGTCGTGAGTAATAAACTTTTTGTTTTACCAATAAGTGACTGGTACCCACCTGTTCACATTTCCCATTATTGCCAGAGAACTACACCCTGAGGTGAAATGATAGCCCACCTCTGCCTCTGGGGTTACCACCATGCCAGGGTGGTATTATACATGCAATTCTTATATTGTACATGTTAAAGAGAAACAGTCATAGTTGGGCTTATGCAGTAATCTTAATATTCCTTTTTATATCTTTATAACAGGTTCACTTCATGAAAAACTACATTTATCCTCTTATTTAACATTAGTTAATTCCTGGGCCAGATATTTCAGCCTAAGTGTCAAAATTCAGAGATCATCTAAGGTCTGACAGTTGTTGCCTGTCAAATGTCTGACTTATTATACTATCTTCCAGACCCTGAGAAGGTACAGTATAACTGAATTAAACAGCAGTCCTGATGTTTTCTACATTCTTATTGATTATCTTCTTAATTATTATGTCAGACATTCTCAGGTGCTGGGAGAGAGTGTGTGAGCTGAAATGTCAGGCTCAGACAAAGTAGGTAAAGTTAAAAAAAGGTGAATATTTATTTATTTCACCAGCACAACTAAAATATTTTAAAGCTAAATATTCAAATTCCTGCAAATGCCTAATCACAACTGATCCTAGTCAGAGAGGTCAGAGGATGACAGCTTTCATCACATCAAGGTTGGCAGTCATTTTTTCTAAATTACTATTGAATAAGTTTGCCAGCAGAAGCAACAAAAACCCTTAATGATGATGTTACACAGCAAGAAGTTTTCCAAGCCACCAATTTGCTTTAAGCTAGTTTGGGAAAAATTAATACTATCTCTGCAATGGGTCTCCCAGTACACTACAAGGGTTAATTGCTCAATTTTGCCAAGTGTACCCAATGCCCTGAGGAGGCCCCTAGGCAATCAAAACCTTGGAGCCTCCATCACAGGTTTCTGGAGGTTTCTCGTGCTCGCGCTCCAGTGGGATAACATTGAACTAAATAGTGTGCACGTTGGCTGCTAGATGGAGATGACCATCATTATTATACATTACATGTATATAGGTTGGACCAATTTTTTCTTACAAACTGACAGCGGACAGAAGATGACTTTGTAAGAGACAAACTGTGAACCTAAGGTCTATTGTTTATGTACTTTAGGTTTTTATTGGGTACATTACATTAATATAGTATTTTCTTTATGAAATCTTTAATGTAAAGTTTTCGTTTCTTTGAGTTAATTCATTTTTCCATCTTTTGTAAACAGTTTGAGAAAGCTTCACTGTAATTTTCTTTCAAGATCAAATCAGTATTATTTTGATCCATTGTTGCCATTAAATGACATGGGACCCATTTGGCACTGAGAGTACCATTAAAATGTATTTTTAATTACCTTATTTCACAGTCTTTCTCCTTTTCCATATGGCCGGTTGGTCCTCAAAGCTGATACTCTTTGGCGCTTCATCTGTCAGTTCCACTCTTATGTCAAGAGTAACAATGCAGGATGAGCAGTTCTTCATTGTAGGTGGGCTTGCCCACAAACCAGAGTGAAGAATATTCAAGATTTTAAAATACAAGCCAGGGCTAACAGCTTTGTTCCTGTTATGCCAGGTCACACCACTATGGTGCAGTTGTGTGCTCTGAAGAAAGTACAGCATGCAGGACTGCAGCAACTACCCCATTCTATACCATGCAGCCTATAGGACCTAATAAAATGTCACTTGTGAAATTTCAATAAAGTTTGCGCAACAAAACTAAACACCAGCGGCTACTTACCAACACAGCTGCTGTGAAAGAGCCCTAAATGCTCATTTTAATTTGCAATGTGCCTTTGAAATTGCCAGAAAATTTGACTAGTCAGTTTCTTGTACAGCCCTTCCCTCCTGCCATGTCATAGTCTTCTCTTCTTATTTTTTCTTCTGGCCCAACATTTCTGCCCTTTCCCTCACCAACCTACGTAAGTATTTTTGTATCGTTCAAGGGAAGGATGAAAGGGAATACTACAGGTTGCCACTTGAGTGGCAGCTGTGAGTCTGCTTGGGCTGCTGACCTCTTATCCATGATGGCAGTGCTCAGCAACATGAGAAAAGAACAAACAGAGGGCGCACAGGCCTAGTGCATTACCATAAAAAATGTTTAATAAGAAATAAAGTAGGTGTTGTACTCACAAACGACAATAAAGTCAAGGCACATCATAAAGAACAGCTGGGTCAACACAGCCACAGTGGCTCTGAGGAAGAGGCAAGTCCTCGAAAAGCGTCAACCTATTGGATGTCTACTCTCCCTATTGCGGACTGTTACTCAGCGCGGTGTTGACCCAGCTGTTCTTTTAAGACGTGCCTTGACTTTATTGTCGTTTGTGAGTACAACACCTACTTTATTTCTTATTATTTCTTTATTTCTTATTAAACATTTTTTATGGTAATGCACTAGGCCTGTGCACCCTCTGTTTGTTCTTTCCTCATTCAGTATATCTGGATTTCCCCGGTCTATTGAGGGCAGCAAGGTGTGCATGTTCCAGATCATTCTTAATGTGGTTGTAGCCTGCATCGAGTTCATCCCCAAGCGCAGGAGCATTTGTGTTTGCTAGTGCTCAGCAACAGTCTTATGGCTTTTGAATGTCTACACAAGGGAGGCTTTTACAACTAAGCAACAAGCATAAAATGGACAAATAAACCTATGGAAAGATTGTTGTTAACTGGATGACCTGTCGACAGAGTCTCTTTGGCAGGCCATAGACGGGCCATTTATCTGCCGAATTGTTGGCCGATAAACGAAAAAAAAATTGGTCGGTGCTGTTGCCGATGCTGCCACGAATGTCCACGAAAAATGGTCGTTTTTTGTGGATTTTCCAGATGACCAATAAAAAACGACCGAGGCTAGCCCCACTATTGGCGTGAATATCGGTCGATTTTTCGTGCGGACAAAAATTCGGCCGATAAACGACCCGTCTATGGCCTGCATTTAAAGGGAAATTCCAGGCAACAAGTGTAATTAATCAGTGAGCTGCTACTGCATGTGTGCCTTTACTCCACAGAGGCCAAACCAGGTTTGTTCCAACCTGCCAAGCCAGTGGTCATACAGTATTACAGTATATCACATTTTTTAAGTTATGTACAGTTTATAGTCCTATTCTTCTTTGTTGCCTGCAGTATTTCTTTCACCTGTATCAATTTATCTACTAGATAGGAATTGTCTTTGTTCATGTTTCCTTCTGAATATTTGATAAAAATACTAATGTCAAAGCACAGCAAAGTTGAAATCAAATGCTGGATTGTAATGCCACAGAACAGCATATGCATTTTTATCTTTGCTTTGTAGCTAGTGCTAGTTAATGTATTTTAATTGTATTCTCTGGTGCAAACTATAGGAGGTTTCTTTTGTGTATAACCCAACAATGTATTTCCACATGTAGTACATGCAGAATTACATTTCCTACAGTTATAGATTGTAGTCTCATTCAACTAGACACCTTTTAAACTTAAATGAGAAAGCCAATTGGATTATAAAACATGTACAGCTGAATGTGACCAACTGCTAAGAGCTATACTATGACCTTAATAAATAAGAATCTTCATAAACATTGTCTATACTGTTGTATGGGGACACGTTACATACCTTATAAATCCTTTCAAATTCAATTATGTGTTGAAATCTAGAATGCAATTACTGCAGAGAAAGTCCAAAGAGTGAAGGATCGGTTCATGTCTGCTTATGATGTCACTTCAGATGGCCGCCTACAAATACGAGAGGTATGTAATAAGCCAATAGTGTTAAGTGATAAAATATTGGAATATTTCAAAAGTATAATGACCTGTAAAGGGTAAATGTTGAAGTCAATGGGGGAGGCACAACAGCCTGGCAACTAGTATTTACTGAAAGTCAGTGATAGCAGTCCCTATCATGATAGGTTTACTTTAATGATTTAAGACCTTCAAAGAGATGTATCATAGTTTACATGTCACCTGCCTAGTGGGGTTTCTATAGGAATATATGAAAAATAAAAGTGCTACAAGTAAAACAAAAGATGTGTCTTTCAGCCGAGTCAAAACTGAAACAACTGGAATTGGGTATAAGATATTGTTGTTGTAGCAGATGTATGGAGTCAAGACCTTGTGCTGGGTCAAACCCTGTTCTGTATCATCTAAAAATGTGAAAAGGGACTCGGACACAGGTCTACATTGCTGATTTTCTGATAATACATACTGTATGCAAATAGAGCATTTAAAATTCCCACTGGCTGCCAATTTACACCAACCACCAATGTAAGGGAGGGGGTGGGGGTGTTCATCCTACTGACAACAAATAAATGAGGTAGCATTCTTTCCATTCACTACCAATATATGACGTGTATTCATCCTACTGATGACTAGTAAAAGAGAGGACATTTTTTCCACTGACCACCAATGATAGCAAGGGCATTTTTGCAACTGATCACCAATGTAAGAGGGGGTACTTTTTCCAACTGATGTAAGAGGGGGCTTCCCACTGACCACTAATGTAAAAGGGCATTTTAACTCCCCTTAGCCACGTATTTTAGGTACCGTTGACCAAAAGTCACACTCCTTGTACAAATCTGTGCAAACAAATTATCTTGTAAGCAATGAATGCTTTCAAGTGATATTCACACCATTTTTGTGATACAGTGAATGCTTACCAGATGGTAATGACCACTAATACCCTGTTTCCCCTAAAACAAGACCTACCCCGAAAATAAGACCTAGTGCTATTTTTGGGAATTGCTAAAGTATAAGGCCTACCCCAAAAATAAGACCTAATTGTGATCATGGCTTTTTTTCAGCCGGAACATGGTGGAACGCCATTCCACCACCTACGCCATTGGCCTTGTGCGCACCCATATCTACTGTCTCTTATAAACACCGAAGCGCAGCTGAAGTGACAGCACCATCCGCTCCCACAGAACCTCCCTACCTCTGTACTCACTGTGGGACAGGGAAGGAACAGATATCTGCGGGCGCAGTGTGTTTAGGGGTGGGGCATCTCCTCCTGCAGCCTAATGCATGGAAGCCGATGCCCCAGGGGTGATCACCGGCCAGTGGGGAAGAGGTGGAGCAGTGAGTAAGTGTGCTTGGTGCACTGTGTGGGAAGATAGGACCTGAAACAGTTACTATAGAGAGGGGCCGGCTGCTGACAGCTGTGTTTTGCAAAGCTAGTTAACCATATGAGGGCAGTGGAGGGGGGATGTGCAAAGGTGAGCTGCAGTCAGGTGTTGCAGAGGTAAATTAGTCAGGTGAGTTGCAGACAGGGTGCAGCCCACCTTTACACCCCCCAGCCACAGCTCAGCTCTGCACCCCCTGGCCACAGCTCCGCTCTGCATCCCACGTCTGCAACTCACCCCTTCACCCTGTCTGTGGCTCATATCTGCACCATCTGAAACTCACCTGTCAAGTCACCCCTGCAACACCTGACTGCAGCTCACAACTGTCATCAACTGGCCCTCTCCATAGTAACCCTCATCCACAACTGCCTGCAGCTCACCTCTGCACCCCCTGTCCACACCTGGACATTTAAAAAATAAGACCTACCCCGAAAATAAGACCTAGTGTGTTTTTTTGAGCCAAAAAAATATAAGACAGTGTCTAATTTTAGGGGAAACACGGTATATGAGTGGTAAAAAACTGTCTTTAGGGGGTATATCCTCATATAGGACCCAGAGGCAAGATGCAGGGCTTCCCAAGTATCCTTCAATGTATCATCACTAAGATCACACAAATCAAATAAAGGGCTCCACCAGTATCCCTATAAATCACTCAGCTGCCCCTGATGGTATCATATTCTTATAAAATGCTTTGGATGGAACTAGACGTGCTGACATTGCCATGCATGTCAGCAACCACTACCAGAGTTGTGATATCCATATCCGTATAGCAGTATACTGTACTTACTATGAGTTATATATTTTTTTTAACCCTTTTAATACATTTGTTTACACTATGGGAGTTCTCTGTATTTTTCTCTATCCATATATATGAGTAATTTTTGGGGATACTGGTGGAGCCCTGCATTTCTTTTGTGTGTTTTTGGTGATGATACATATTCTGTGCCATTTGTGGATACTTGAGAAGCCCTGTATCTTTCCTGTGGGTCTTATGTGAGGACCTACCTCCTAAAGCTGTTCTTGACCACTCATATATTGGGTGTCATTACCATCTGGTAACTGTTCACTATGATCACAGAAGTGGTGCAGGTATCACTTGAAGGCATTCACTGCTTGGAAGATCATTTCTTTGCACATATTTGCACAAGAATTAGAACATTTTTTCTGAGCTTTGCTACTGATGAATTTGTATTTATGGTTAATTATAATATATATTTCTATTATTTGTGAATTTAAATAAGCGCATTTATCACTTTATTGAGTTTTTGCATTGATTTTTTTACATTGTCTTGGTGGAGATTAATGCTGCACTTGTATTAGCAATTTTTTGAACATTGCATATCAGAATATTGTGCTGCCTGCTTTTCTCATATATAGGTTTTTCCCTAAGCATGGTTACACTTCTCTTCTTATTGATGTAGGCCACCACTGTAATGGGGCATTAACACTGGCTAACAGTGTAACACAATGAATCAGAATCATTAGCACTTACCTCTATTATAATGTAGGCATTAATACTGAATACCAAGGTAATAGGGGTATTAACAATAACCACTTATGTAATGGGGGCATTGACCATCAATTTAATGCAGGCATTGCCACTCACCACTAAACCAAAACACTAGCCACCAATAAAAGTTTATGTTGGATAATAGTAAAACTCTTTGGGGTTAATACCTGTCAAATTGCCACTTCTGTGATAAACAGGGTGTTGTGAAGTAGATGTATATGTGTGTGTGTAAGGGGGGGCAGCAAATATTTGCTATTTGGTCATGTGATTTCTAGTTAGCTCCCTGGCTGTTGGTTAAAATATCACCCCTTTAAGCCCTTGATCCACCCTAGGTCTTATTTACTATACCATACAGGAGCAGAAGCAGTCAGTTTTTATTGTACAGTCAAGTAAGCATCCTCATCCAGAATCTGTCATCAGAAGACTCTCTGTCACAGCATGGAGGGATTTAATTGAAAGCCAAGCATTGGCTGCCCATTGATCTAGGTCACTTTCTCCATGGCCTCTTTCACACTGTGAACTTGCAGCTTATGGTTGCTTAGCAGTCAATCCTGAAAGTCTCTGCTTTCACAATAAAAGCTAAAATCTTCTCAGACAGAGTACACAGCATCACCAGGTCACTACCAATACATTCAATAAATAATCAAATATGCAATATTAACCAATACATAAAATGTCAGAATATTTATAGTATAAATAAACTGGAATAAAATATAGCGTAACCATCTCACTTACATATGAACAACACAATTCCATCTCTTTCACAAATATAATAATGTAATGCATGAGTATGAAATCATCTTTACAACTTTAACTTCCTGCTAGTTTTATTATATTATGCTTGGATGAGCTGGTGAAATATTTACTGTGGACACTTGAAATTGTTTGCATTTTCCCTTGTTGCCAAACTGAATCTGTAAAAGTTGTAGTTGCCTATTGTTGTTTATAGATTGCTCATAAAATACACAGTATTTTATGTGTTTACAGTTTAACAACATTTTGCAAACTATCCATTAAGCACAAACAGTGGCTTACTTAGCTTATGTGACACCAATAACAAAATAATTTCAGGAATAATCATGTAAGTAAATTAATAATATTATGCCAAAAAGAAATGCAAACAAGGGAACATTCCTTCTATGTCAGAGCTCAACATTTCAACATTAAACACAGACATCATGAATTGAATATTTAACAGGCAATGAAATCATTAAAACCAGTGCGCACTCCAACCCTTGCACCCCATCTAACCACTGTCTTTAGCTCCATCATACATCACAGCTCATTCTCTTGAGAGTCATCAAGGTCAAACATTATAATGCTTTCCAAACCTCCATAGACCTTCACATGGTCAATTTACAAAGGAATTTTGCTTCTGATATACGGCTTCTTTTGAAGATCTTGGTAGCTAGGATAAATAATTTCTTGAGCTGACGTATTCACAATAATAGTCAGCTTCTTGCCTTCAAGACAGGCAGGAGATAATATAAGAAGATCCTTAGATCTTGCCCATTCAGGGTTCTGTAGAGACAATGCTGCTATCCCCCTTGATGTTTACAAAGCTTTTGATACAATCTCAGAATATTGTCTTTGCTTTTTGCAAACTGAACTAACATTTTTTTCTTGGGTTTCTTTCAATTATGTCCACCCTTCAGCTTCCAATAAATACATGAGCTTTGAATTCTAACCCTTCCCTATAAAACGAGACACGTACTAAGGCTGCCCCCTTAACCCCATATGTTTCTACTGGCTCTGGAACCCTTGGCAGTCCTACCCCTGAATTCACAGCCTTGAAATCCTGAGAACACAACATAAAAATATGCTAAACATATGCTATTCACTGGCAAAGGGGTTGATTTACTAAAAGTGGAGAGAACAAAGCACTGGTGCAGCTCTGTATAAAAACCAGCTTCAAGGTTGTATTGTCAAAGCTTAATTGGGCAAGCTGAAGTTAGAAGATGATTGGCTACCATGCACAGCTTCACCAGATTTTGCACTCTCCATCAGCCCCCTTATCTTTCCTGAGCCCACCCCCTACTCCCCTTTCCATATTTTTCCCTCTCCTGATTTTTCTTCTTCCATTTCCCCTTGTCCACACTTTATACTCCATCTGAAGCTTTGGGCTTCTCTCCCTCTGTATGCCCTCTCCCGGCCTCTGAATTCGATTCTCTTCAAGACATCACTAAATATATTCTAATGTTCAGTCCCATATATTCCTATCTATTGCTTTATCAAAAATAAACTGCACCCCCCAAAGATGCATTTACACAGGATTTGCAAGCCCATGTATGTATCCTATGCCTCAAATAAACCCACCCCTTCCTCTCCACTTACGAATATCTTATGAATTTTAATTTGGTGCCTCTTACATAACATCTGACTGTTACCTAAAACCTTTGTATGGAAACATATAATACTCCATTGTATTTCTATATCACCCTTTCTGGAAAACCCATTAAAAATAATGTGAAACTTATGCAAACAAGGAAAATTGTCATGTTCCCTTTTTATTGATAGTCTGTTGACAATTGCCTTGCATTTGTGATCGGTGTAGTGTTCTCTTACATTGCTATTCAATATAGTCTCCTTTTACAGTGTTGATCAGTCTAGTGTCCTCTTACATTGGTGGTCAGGGTAGTCCCCCTTACACTGGTGGTCAAGGTAGTCCTCCTTACATTGATAGTGATACCTGTGTACAGAGTATACTGTGTATACCTGTGTACAGCATATTCTGTTTTTATGTCTGCTTTCATGAGCCCTTTTGCAAGAAACAAAGGAGGGAAGATTTTAAGGGGATTGATTACAAAGCAATGTCAAACTTTACAAAGAAGGCACACATCAAATATTGTAAGTGCTGAGGTCATCAATACTAGACGCTTTTTAGGTAAAAAGGTTTAATACCACCTTTAAGGTGGTCCATGAAAACCTAAAAGGGATTTGTAGCACTTCTGTACACATAATGAGACAAATTTGTCAGATCATTATATCTTTATACTTTTAAATTGAATAAAAAGAGTTTGCAAAAAAAAAATGATCAGAGCATATACAATGGTGTATTTGCAACTCCTGCACCTGTAATTCTGGGCAGCCAACTGCACAACTGAACACATGCACAATTAAGAAGTGGTCAGGGGCAGGTTTTCTGTTCTTGTAGTGCTACTGTAGCACAGCAAAGGGAAGAATTTATAAATTCAGTAGTGATCTTACAGGAAATATGTTTCATTATATGTCTCACTGCTCCTGTTTAGCATCTCCTTGCTGTGCGCCAGAATTAACAAAGGTCCCTTATAATTTGGTTAACAGAGATTGGCAGCAGAAGAAGTTATTAAGTTCCAGCTATTGAAATATTTGTGAAATATAAATATAAAAGTACCTCTCCTTATGCATTGCTCTTTCAAGATTTGTAACAAGTGTTTTGCTATTTCATTCTGACCCACTGACACATTTAGCAGTATAAAACTCATAGTGGTGTTATCATAGATCTGTCAAAAGTTAAGTAATGCAGAACAGTTTTAGCTGTGGACTTGACAAGAGAGAGACAGCATGTTTGTCCCATATCCACCCAACCATTTAGAGAAGCTGTACTGCAGGAGCCCTTACTTAATATGTGAAATGCTCTCGGGGACCAACATTCCCCTTTTCTGACATCAAAGCAATATTAACTCAGACCACAGAAAATGACATTTCATATTCTCAGAACACCTTTTACCTGGGGTGGAAGCACTAAGACTATACATTACCTAGAAATGCAGCCTGACATTTCAAAATTCTTATAGAATACTATATTTGAAATGAATTGTTATCATGAAAACATCAGTAATTGCTGTTAATAATAATATTCAACAAAAAATGATAGAAAATGTTGTGACTGTCTAAAAGAAGATACTAATACAACATAGTTTAGTGAAAATAATGTTTATATAGGTTACTATTAGTTTTTGTATAGTATTAAAAAGTCATGCACTCTTGTGTGATGATTACATTTTGATTATTTAAATTATTTGATTATTTAAATTATTCTTATTGTTCTAAAGCCTTTATACTGTATTTTTTTCTTGCAGCTTGCAAATATGATTTTGCCAGAGGATGAAAACTTTCTGTTACTTTTTCGCAGAGAAACTCCTTTGGATAACAGCGTGGAATTCATGCGAGTAAGTGAGACAAAGGTGCTTCTACACAGTTATATAACAATTATAAATTAGTTATACAAGTTTTTGTAAAAGAGCTTTTACCAGGACTGATGAACTGATATGAAAAAAAGATTTAGTAGATTATCAGAAAAGAAAATGTCTAAAACAAATGTGGTATAGCGAGGCATACTAAAACCAAGCTGTCACCTAGCCTATATACCAGATCCCATATGTATGGAAATAGTTGGCTGAGAACTCAGGGTTCTCGTTAGATGTGGAGGAACTAGGGTTTCTTGTTGTGGTCACCTGGGACATCTTCACAAGGTAGTGTCTACATCACCAAGCAATGTTTATAGGTTTAAACACTTGGTTAATTGCAATACACAGTATGTGATATACACTATATTACCAAAAGTATTGGGACGCTTGCCTTTACACGCACATGAAATTTAATGGCATCCCAGTCTTAGTCCTCAGGGTTCAATATTAGGTTGGTCCACCCTTTGCAGCTATAACGGCTTTAACATTTCTGGGAAGGCTGCCCACAAGGTTTAGGAGTGTATCTATGGAAATGTTTGACCATTCTTCCAGAAGTGCATTTGTGAGGTCAGGCACTGATGTCGGACGAGAAGGCCTGGCTCACAGTCTGCACTCTAATTCATCCCAAAGGTGTTTTATCAGGTTGAGGTCAGGACTCTGTGCAGGCCAGTCAAGCTGCTCCACCTCAAACTTGCTCATTCATGTCTTTATGGACTTTGCTTTATGCACTGGTGTGCAGTCATGTTGGAAGAGGAAGGGGCCATCCCCAAACTGTTCCCACAAAGTTGGGAGCATGAAATTATCCAAAATGTCTTGGTTGGGCTTAGCCCCTTAGTTCCAGTGAGTTCCCTTCACTGGAACTAAGGGGCTAAGCCCAACCCCTGAAAAACAACCCCACACTATAATCCCCCCTCCACCAAACTTTACACTTGGCACAATGCAGTCAGGCAAGTACCGTTCTCCTGGCAACCATCAAACCCAGACACGCCGATCAGATTGCCAGACAGAGACGTGTGATTCGTCACTCCAGAGAAACATGTCTCCACTGCTCTAGAGTCCGGTGGTGGCGGGCTTTACACCACCACTCCTGAGAGCGACCCATTCTTTCACAAATGTTTGTAGAAGCAGTCTGCATGCCTAGGTGCTTGATTTTATACACCTGTGGCCATGGAGGTGTTTGGAACACCCAAATTCGATGTTTTGGAGGGGTGTCCCAATACTTTTGGCTTTATAGTGTATGTTATTACCTGCAAAGATTGTGGGATACAGTATGTAGGTTGTACTACAAGGAGACTATAGGGTTTATTTACTAAAGCTGGAGTGGTTAATTTCTGCATAGAAACCAATCAGCTTCCAGGTTTTATTGTCAAAACTTAATTGAACAAGCTGAGGTTAAAAGCTGATTGATTTCTATGTAGAAGTGAGCCTGATTTTGCATTCTCCAGCTTTAGTAAATAAACACCTATGCGATAGACTTTTGGAATATCAAAAGTAATATACTGACTGTGGTGAAACATTTTATATATGTACATGCTAGAAATGTGGATAGTTTAACAATACAAATGACTGAATACATAAAAAACCCAGTGAGGTCGGGAAGTATCATGAAATCAGTGGGCCCGTGTGCAAGATCAAAAATGGGCCTTAGGAATCAAGAAAGATAAAAATGCAGTGCACAAAGCAAGCTTGGTTTAAATGGTGCTAATTATTGGGTGTGGCTTAAGGGACTGTGGGTGAGATGACTTACATAGTGCAGAATGTGATAATGGTAAATGGGGAATGTGCAGTGCAGAACGAAGGAGCAAAGATGCCAAGTGTAAAACCCCCCCCATACCAAAAAGGATGATGAGTGCATGGAGAGGCTGGGTTGGCATAGTGGAGCAAAATGAGAACCCTAAGATATTACCACCATTGAAAAAATTAACAGGATAGGAAAGGGTGTTTCACTTGTGCGATGTAGTCGTAAGAAAGGTAAAACAGAGTCAATCTTCAAAATGTCTATCGGGGAAACAAGGTCGTTTATAACTCACAAGTGCAGATGTAATTCTGCAATTTTATTTTATGCAATTACATATCTACATTCAGATCCATTGTGTTAAACAACTGTAGAATCTTGTCAACAGAGAGCATACACTATGTGTGTCATAGGCCTCAGGTACTCCTGCCATTCCCACCACCTGATGTCCAGGAGTGATCTGTGAAAACAGGTCCAAACAGTGATTCACAAATTGTCAGGTCAGTATACTATCTGCAACACAGCCTGTGTCCCACCAAGACCAAGTCACATACATTGTCACAATCTCTTACCAAACAAGTACTACTAGCTTGCTTAATCCATCCAGAGCAATAGGCCACAGTCTCTTACCAAAAAAGTGCTACTACTAGAAGTAGCATTTGTTTGGTAAGAGACTGTGGCCTGCTGCCCTGGAATAACCACTCCAATAGTGGGAACTTTCACCCCTTCCTGCACAATCCAATTTAAAGCTTTTATCGCTGTCACCCTTTGAAAGGCAGTTGCGCGGTCATACAACACTGTACCCAAATTACATTTTTATGATTTTTTTTCACACAAATAGAGCTGTCTTTTGTGGTATTTAATCACCACGGTTTTTTTTTATTTTTTGCTAAACAAACAAAAAAAGACTGAAAACTTTGAAAAAAAAATTTTTTCTTTGTTTCTGCTATAAAATTTAGCAAATAAGTAATTTTTCTTCTTCACTAATTTGCACTGATGAGGCTGCACTGATTAGCACCGATAAGTGGCACTGATTTGAACTGATGGGGCTGCACTGATGATCAGTGCCCTTATCAGTGTAAATGTGCCTTATCAGAATTACAAGCTACCGGCTCTCCTTTCCTTACACTGAGGAAAGGAATGCCAATAGCCAGCAAGTTTGATGTGTACTTATGAAGCTGAACTGATGTGCACTGATGAGCACTGGTGAGGCTGCACTGATTGACACATTTGGTGCTGCATTGATGGGAACTGATGAGGGGGGCACTGACGAGGCTGAACTGATGGGCACTGGTGGGGCTGCACTGGTGAGGCTACACTGATGGGCACTGGAGAGGATGCACTGATGAGCACTGGTGGGGCTGCATTGATGGGCACTGATGAGGATGCACTAATAGGTAGCACAGATAGGTGGCACTGATGGGCACTGATTGGAAGTGGTTAGGCAAGCTAGTAGTAACAGTACTTGTTTGGTAAGAAGAGACTGTGGTCTGCTGCCCTGGATTAAACAAGCTAGTACTAGCTTGCTTAATCCAGTGATGCCGGCCACAGTCTCTTCTTACCAAACAAATACTGCTACTACTAGCTTGCTTAGAAAAGGGCACAGTGACAGTATTTTCTCTGCTTGAGTCCAGGGCAGGGCAGCAGGCTTCTGTATGTCACACCATTCTGGCTCAAGTCCCACCATTACCACCACTTGACACAGCCAGAAAGACTTCAGGAGGTTCCAGTCCTCAGCAGCGGCACCGCTCTCCTGCTCTGCACAGTCCTGCCCTCCGCCCTCTTCTGGGACCCAAAAAATGCACATTACATTTCAAATGTTTTCTGACTCCATGAGGCCACAGTGAGACAGCGCACAGTGGGCCCCCTGCCCTCGGGGCCTGTGTGCACCACACACTCTGCACACATGGATAATACGACACTAAGTAAGGGGAGGGAAATGTACATATTCGCCAGCATACCATGGATCTCAATATAGTCAAAAAAGGTTTTTAATCCAAAAAGATCACATCACAAAGAAAAGTGCAATGTTTCTGAACCGCGCAGGACCTCTTTGTCAAGCATGTGATATCACATGCCTGATGAAGGGGTCCTGCGTGGCTCTGAAACTTGCACTTTTCTTTGTGATGTGATCTTTTTGGATTAAAAACCTTTTTGGACCATATCGAGATCCATGGTGTACTGGCAAATATGTTCGTTTGCCTATGATGTTTCCAGTCCCAGCTGGTAGTTGATACAGCTCCCTCTATTGATGAGCCATACTTTCAGGTAAGTAGTTATAATATACTAAGTAAGGGGAGGGGACATGTTTCCTAAATTATGTTGCCAGGAGGCGTATTGAATTTTTACTTTACTGGTTGGCCTGAATTTTGAATGAAATGTCTCCCATTACAATGATTGATGACATAATACACCTCATTATGTTTTCCCTCCCCACAAGGGCTCTTTGATATTCACTTACTAACATTGTGGTTTTGCACTTTTTGTAACAAGATAAATTAGTAGGTTTTCAGTTATAATTATCCCATTTTTGTACTGATGTGCTTTTAAGGTGGGTTATTATATTATTGTAGCGCTCTCCTGAAATAGCAGCTAATGATAACTGATTCCATTCTCCATGATTAGTGCTCACACAGCCAGGCACACAGCTAATTCTCTATTCCATTGACTTGAACAGAACAGTCTAGGGGTGTCTTTTTATGCTTTAATTGCAGAATAAATTTGCATGGGGTGAAGGGAGCGATACCCCAGAATTTCTGAACTGACTTCTGTGAGGACTCTTCTATTCACACAGATGTGAACAAAATGTTCCACATAACTCTCTACTGGCTGAAAGATGCCTATGACTTCCTTTAGAAAACTGAGAACTGCATACGGTCACTAAGACACATCACTTTGCCAGAGGATCATCTGCTGCCTCTTCCTGATATCTACCGGGCAGTCTTCAGTGAGGTAGACACAGACTCACATTACCACATGACAGTTGGATAATCTCCCCCCCCCCCCCCCCCCCCCCCCCCCCCCTTCTACAACAAGTACTCTTCAGTGAGCTCTCCAGACCCAAAAGAAAACTCCCAGACCAGACTTTCAAATAGGCCCCCCAGCTTAAACTTCAGCTGGGACCTTGATTACTCCTGAACAGCACCTCCAGCAGCCTACCCTCAAGGGCAGAGCCTCTAGACAGAGGTCTCCCCTTAGCAGGACTGAAGCTGGGATCCACACACTCTGCCCCAGGTCTCAGGCTATTTATGGGCCATCCAGCCACCTACTGAACACCTCCCCAAGTATTGGCCAGATCCCCATAAATATTGAAGCTGTCTCTCTATCCTTCTTCCCACTATGATTCTAGAATCCTCTAGAATGCAGGGGGAAGCAGTCATATCAGTAGCATTTGAGGCACTGAGCAGCCGCAATCAATCCCTGCTACAATGACTACACTAAATTTACTCAGCAAACTACATTAGCTATGAGGGTACTATGCCATGATTTGCTGTCAGTAAATAAGATGACGTTTTTTGGGGTTTATTTAGCTGACAGGATGGTTCTGGTATATGTCTGACAATTTTTAAAGACCTTTAGTGGCAATGTATTTGCTGCAGTTATAGGATAGAGAATTTGTGAGAAGATTTGCATGCATTTGTGTACATTTATCATGGTTTTGTAAATATTTTTTCTCTGTATTAAGGTGAGGACTAAGGCTCCGTTTACACCAATGCGTTTTTAGTGCTTTTTGCAGAAACACACTACAGACCATTTAACATGGTTTCCTATGGAACATGTTCACATCTATGCTTTTTTGAGCTGCTGTATTTTTGGAAAGGGTCAGGGACTCTTTTAAAAGCAAAAAGGAGCATTTTTGTTATAATAGAGTTCACTGGAGAGGCTGCTGAAATGCATGGTAGTGCATTTTTGCCGTGTTTTTGCCGCGTTTTGAGTTTTGTATTTTTAATCTGCCCAGCTACAAAAAAAATTCCACTTTAACAAAAAAAAATAGCTGAGCAAAATGCAAAACTTGTAGAAAAACGCAAAACAAACTGCGAAAAGCACGGCAAAATGAACAAAAAGCAAACTGCACAGGTGTAAATGGAGCCTAAAACATGAAAATGTAAACAATATATATATATGTAAATATAACTATATATATATATATAGATATATATATATATAGATATATATATATATATAGTTATATTTTTGAATTAGGTAAATATGAAATATTATTTTATTTGCTCTTAACTGGTAGATTCTAAACTACTCCGTAGTAACTGTGTTAATTATCTGAATATATCATAATATTTATTTAAATGTGCCCAGTGCTCATTTTGCTACTAACAATCCTCTATTAGATTAATGATATATTGTGTTGTGCCTGTTAATTCACTTTATTTTGCCTAATTGAAACAAGAAGTGGGGGGAGATAAAACCTTACACTGTTTTGAGTAATGTTTATTTGACATCCTTAATGTGTTACTAAACCCAGGACCCTGCGTTCACTATGTCCAACAGTACACAGAACATGGAGGTGCAATTATTTTAGTAAATATAAACTGCTAAATACCTTTTATCATCAGCAGTTAGAGCAGTCTTGTGACTTCTATCAGTGTCCAGCAGAGCACTGGCTAAAGCTTGTAGGAGGAGTTCTCTTTCTGCTCTAGGAGAATGCAAAACCCCTGACCTCTGTCTGGACAGTGCTGATTGGCCCTGTGCTGATCACATGCAGTCTCCCAAGAAAAGAAAAAACCTCTCTAGCAATACACAATAAACTGAGCATGTGCAGAATGGCTACGGGTTCAGTCTGTCTTATCAGGAGATAAGACATGAACATTTGAACAAGAGGAGGGGCAGAGAAGACAGGATCAGATGGCCTTTTTACACAATGCAAAGGATTAACCCCTTAGGTTCCATAGTGAGTATAACAAGCATGCTTTACTGCATATACAGATTGATTTTACTGTTGTGGGTTTAGTAACACTTTAAAGTTAATAGCAAATAACTATACATATATATATACTTTGTGTATATGCAATTTATATACATTAAAATATTACAAACACACAGCTGTTTCCTTTGAGCCTCAACTATTGAGTATTGTGCAAATAAGGAATAGCAAGCATTTCAGTCAAGAAGTAAGGCTCCATTCACACCTAAGCGATTTGTAGCTTGAATCTTAAATCCCCAGAATGCTCAACAACCAAAATGCTATGCTTTTGAATTGTACCTATTCCCATATGAATGCTCAGGGGCTTGTAGCTCAATGCCTTTTGAAGCCGAATGGGGATTCTTTGGCCCCATAGACTTCAATGAGAGTGCCTGAAAAATGCTTGAAATGAGCCTAAATAACAATTTCCTCCTCCTGGTAACTACTTTTATATTGGCTTACACAAAAATGCTGAAGCCTCAATACTCCAAAAAAATGTTTAAAAGCACACAAAAAAAATGCTCCTAAATGACTTGTATAAAGCTCACTCAGGTGTAAATACAGCTTTAAGATGTGACAAATAACAGAAGGTACATGGAACATGGACAACAAAAGATAGAACATGATTATATATAGTAATTGAGACCCACTTTAGTGAGTAGACAGGTATATCATGCTGTCATTTTAATGTGTGTGGATTGGGGTTATGTATATATATTATGACGTATATTTATAAACATTTTCACACAACTTTCTCCCAGGATTCTCACATTATTCCAATTGAATCCAATTAGAAAAGTGTGAGCATCTAGGGAGGAAGCTATGTAAATTAGGTGTATATATCTCTATAAATAGACCCTCATGTGTTAGGGTACTTTATGTTGTTATCCAACTTTTAAATTACACATTTTAATTTTTATTTTCAGATTTGGCGGAAATATGATGAGGACAGCAGTGGATTTATCTCTGCAGTGGAACTTAGGGTAATGTTTCACATTTCTTTTTCATTTCCAATAATTCACAATCTGTCATTGCTGAAAGTGTTACTGAACTTTAAAATATTCAGATTAAATGTTTAATAGTAGAATTTCTCTTTTGGTACACATTACATCTAATTTATCCTACTTATTCTCAGTTATAAAGAAAGCCTTTATAGTTCCAATATATAGTGAGCTGGAGCTCTTCCCATGTCCTAGAGAAAGTGACCATACATACAGTAGGATATGATAAATGGTAAAAAGCCAAAACTGAAGTCATCTGACGTGCTGTAACATTTTATGCTGAATACTGAAGTGAACCTATACACCATATGAAATTTTATAATAGCCCTTCAGAAACAAAACAAAAAATCCTGTCTTTACAGGGCCATTTTCTGAATGCAGTGGGCCTGTGTGCAGGATCTTAAGTTGGGCCTCTTCCAGAGTTCAATGTACATAATGCTACCCCACATACTCACATACTGATATCAACTCTGCTCTTCCTTGTGTCTTTTTCTTGTTGCTCAAAAAAAAAAATATTTGGAAGGTTCCCTCACCACAATTATATATACCTACCAAAGAAGATAAGGTGACTATGGCACCACAAAGCAAGTAACCCCTCAATTTAATACTACCCAATTATTATTTATTAAAGATCACAATAAATGACATCAAAATACAACAAACCCATTCCATGGTTCCCCTTCTCTTTTCCCTCTTCTCACCCTGAGTCAAAGCAGCAAGGAAGAAGAGGAAGAAGGGTGGAGTTATAGCAACGGAGTGGCATTGACAGCAGAAACAGTATTGAGTGGTAACAGTTGTTTTCACAATATTCCCTCCCTTTGCTTGCTAAGAAGGGTGGAGTTTATAGCAACGGAGTGTGTGGCATTGACAGCAGAAACAGTGGAGTGGAACAGTTGTTTCACAATATTCCCTCCCTTTGCTTGCTAGCTAGGGTGCACAGAAAAATGATCTTGACTGAGGCTAGCTGAGACAGCTCTATTCTTGCAAATGGGTGATTAAAATCCAAAAGTTTTTGTAAATCTAAAAAAAAAAATCATGTTCCTGTCTCTTTAAAGTAGGATAAAACTGCTTAGCAATCTTTGCAATGTTATATAGTCCTTTCCATGTTGTATAATACCTGGTTGATCCTGCCTTTTCCTGTCTGTAAACTGACCATGCTAATCATGGCTGCCGATCCATGATAGCGTGGTCAGTTTACATTTTTCATTATAAGTCTCTCTGCACAGAGTCTCTGTATCTCCCTTTCTACCCTTCCTTCCTCCCTGTCATTTCTGTGGTCTATGTAAAGCTGCTCTTCTTTGCTCCCCTTCCCTCCTGTCTTGAAAGAATGATGCAAATCCCATGAACAGCCTGTGGAGAGATCTTAAAATTGCTGTGATTCCTTCCAATAAGAGAGACCTGGAGCAGTTATGTTGGAAAGAGTGTTGTGCCAAAGGGTGTGAAGCAACCATCTTACATACATAGGACTCTCTGTGCTCGGGAATGAGAGGAGAGAACTGCATGTGACTGCACAGAAGTGCTGGTTTAAAGAGGTGTTAGGCGATGTTATTGAAAAAAACACTGTAATTACAATGGTCTTAAAAGAGAGAGGCTAATAGGAGTTTATTACTGAGACATTACAACAGCTTTAACACCCCGGTCACATCAAAGCCGATTTTTAAATTGTGCAACTTAGGCTACGTTCACACTAGCCTTGTTTGCAAGCGGCAGACAGGCGTTTGGGAAGCGTTTTTACCGTTTCCCAAATGCCTGTGAAAATTCTGCACATTACAGCACATTGTGCTGTTCACACAGGAGCGTTAGCGTCGTGTTGCGTCGCGGCAAAACAGACTCCTCTGATCGAGTCAGGAGGAGTTGAAGCCCCCTATTCAAGTCTATGGTGCCGCTCCGCAAACATCCGGTCGGCGTTTGCGGTGCGGTTGCGACGCGGTTGCGGGGCGTTTGAGGAGCGTTAACACCATTCAAACTTCATTATAGGCATTTGTGGGGTGTTTTTAACGCTTGGCAAATGCCTAGCAACCCCTGTACTACTACTACTTTAGAAATCGGTGCACCAAGTCGGAACCGCACCAATATGACCGCTGCAATAGTGGACAACAGGGTGGGACTTGGCATACGATTTGCAAGTTGCATGAAATGCAGATCACATGCCAAGTGACACCCGATGTGACCGAGGTTATGTGAGCAGTGAGTGCGTAGTGGGACCCTAAGCCTTGGGGCCAAAGTGATATGCACACAGTAAGGATACGCCATAGGGTCTTCACCTTAATTAGCAACAAAGTGTTTTTTGGGTGCTTCTCTCTAATTTAGTTTCACTTTGTTACTTTGTAATGGTGGCTGAGGTCATAATGATACTAAGGGGTCTTATCAACGTTTTCACCCAACAATCGCACAACTTTACCCAGGGTTCATTTATTTCCCCATAAGATTTAATAAGAAAATGGATGAGTCATGGGTAAAAGTTGTGTGAATCTTGGGTGAAAACATTGATAGACACCCTAGATGTTTTAAGATGATAATGATGCAAGTGCTGGAGAATTAAATGAAGGCAGTAAGGAATATTATAATGCTTCTGGAGGTTTTTATATAGCTGGTGCGGGGGGCATAATCACAATTTACTTCAATGGTATTACTCTGTCAGGTTCAATGTGGACTGTTCATGAAAACTAACTTTTAGTCTTGTGACAGATTCTCAACTTGATTGAAGTCTGTGTATCACTGGGTCCTTTCTAAACATTCAGGTTCTTGGTTAAACTGTTCCAATATAGCTTTGGCATTCTGTTTAACGTCTACATACTGTTAGAAGTTAAATCTCATCTCAGTCTCCTCTCTATTGCAGGCTGGTTTGGTTTTTACTCAACAAGTGTTCTGTATTTCGTTAAACCCTTTGTGATGAGCAGTGTTGTCTTTCTGAAAGGCTCAGTTTTCATCTTCTCAAAACACATCTTTTTTTCCACCTGTCTCACACACGTTCAGGAAAACTCAAAAGACGATGTGATATAGAGTTTTTTCAGCATTGTCTTTTTGACTGTTCAGGTTTCAGCAGTCCAGCTAGTGTTTTCTCCTATTTCAGCTGTGGATCTGAGCAGCTCTTTAATAGTTCCCATTAGCCTCTTGTTTGTTTCCAAGATTAAAAACATTCTGTCCCAGGCCGAGTTTCGGATGACAGCCTTATCTCGTCAGAATCATGGTTGTACCGTATTCTTATCATGTTTTGATTAGGAACCAATGTTCAAAATTTGCATTTTTAATAATCCAATGCTATGTGGTGCTTTCATTTAGCTACTTATATAATTCCTAAAGGCAGTTGGTTTGTACCACAGCTTATCTGAGAAATCATTGGGATTTTTTACCACTTGCATTACAGACTTATTTATATGTAGATCAGTAGCATAAAATTCCAGTTAAATCCTTTTTTATTTCAGTTTCTAACATATATTCAGACCTTAAAATTCTAACAGTACTGTAGTACTGTGTATTGTCTTGTATAAAGCAAAGTGCAGTGTTTAATGATTACAGTGGACAACAACAACAGTTATTTGTTGGAAAGGAAACAGATCGCCCAGAGGAACCATTACCATCCACTTAGTGACTGGCTGTGTAAAGCCATTAGCAAAATGAAAATAAATTGTATTTGAGAATGTTGCAGATCAGAGGTGGAAATGGGCCAGCTTTGACTCAGTGGACTGTTTCTACAATAGATTTGTCGAGATGTAGTGTTCTATGAACATAATGGCGTGGAACTAAGCTGTGTCGTTTAGTCACTCATCTGCTAAGTGAATATGTAATAACCCTCATTGACTTTGCCCTGATAGATATTATGGTTGAAACATTCAGTTGTAGAGTTATGGATATTCAGTAAATGTCATGCCCCTAAGAGACAGATTGCAAGATTTTAGAATTTAATAGTAGTAAATGTATGATCCCACTTGTGCACAATGAAATCAGGCTTCTTGAAGCACCAGCACACAATAATGCAGCTCTTTCTACTCTACATTCTACTCCATTATTACTATAAAGCAATACTTTAATGCCAACCTACTAAATAATGGCATTGAAGAAGTGTGGGTGTAGGATATGATGTGATCTCTTGTGTGTATGTTCTGGTCAGGATAGGCTTTCTAATCCTTACTACTTTTCTTAAAAGAAGACAAAAAGGATTAGCCTGTTTAGTTATATTAAAAGAAACATCACCATAAAAATGAACATCGACTCTCATATTCTGTATAGAATTCAAGTTTTGAGACATTTTTTGAGAACAATATGTTTAGCTATGATTCAAAAGGATAATCCATTAATAACATGTTGACTTAACTAGATCACATTATATACATTTAAAATGTGGAATCTTGTGAGTATGCGATTTCAGTGATAACTATATAACATGGTTAATCCCCTGTATAGAGGATGCTTGTCCATTTATTTGAAGTGTAAGAACACAATGACTTTCTGAACCTGCGATCCTATGAGCCTGAGTCTGTGATGAAAACTGAAACTTAAAGTAATTCTAAAAGCTTGTTTTCTTTTTAGAAAAAATAACAAACATGTCTATACTTACCTGCTGTGTGCAGTGGTTTTGCACAGAGCAGCCTGAATCCTCCTCCTCTTGGGTCTTCCGCAGGCTCTCCTGGCCACTCCCTTTTGTTGGGTGCCCCCACACAAGCAGCTTGCTATGGGGGCACCCACTGCTCTGTGTGTTTATTCACAAACAGAGTCTCAGCTCGGCCCCACCCCTTTCTCTTCTCAATGGCTCACTGGCTGTGATTGACAGCAGTGGGAGCCAATGGCTCCTGCTTCTGTCTCAGCTAATGAGCAGAGGGAGTCCTAGGATATCCTAAACGTCATCGCACATCGCTGAATTGAGAGGGGGCTTAGGTGAGTATTAGGGGGGAGGCTGGGGGGGGGGAGGGGATGCTGCACACAGAAGGTTTTTTACCTCCATGCATGAGGTCACAACAGGCAGACAAGAATCCAGAGACAGGTCAAAGGAAAACCAGGTCATACATGGGAAGGCAGAAGTAGCAATTCAGGTCACAGGTGAGTCAGGAACTAACGGAAAGACCATTCAGCCATCTGTTCATGTCAGACTCCAGATTATATAGGCTCTTTTATAGCTCTTTCACCTTGTAAAAAAGAATGCATCAGTTGTTAGAATTTTAGGTGTTATTAACTAATAACTGAAACTTTTGAACCTCAAGAAACTTTCGGGACAAACAAGTAACATTTTTCAGTTGTGATAATTTTTTAAAAGTCATTTTGTAGCACCTTTCCCAATCAAAGAGTGCTTTGAAAGAGCACTGATGTTTCATGCTGATGAGATTGGGCAATCTGCAAATCCCCAGTGATCAGCAGGGAATGTTAGCACTGAGTGGGGGATTGTATACAACAGCTAAAGAAGACCGGTTTCAGCCCCCTATATATTGATAAATAGGCCAATCAGAATCCTTACCTATACCCAATACGTACACACGTAATAGTCTTCCCAACTTCATTACCAATTTAATGTTCTTAATTTAGAACAAAGTATAATCAATAGGTGGTCTTTATTTTCTCTCCCATACCAGATATGCCTTTAAATAAATATTTGAATTATACTTTTGTTAAATGTTTGACATTAAAGTGGTAAACAAGGGGTAAGTGTTTTCTTCTTTTTACAGTCGTGCACTCAGAATGCACAGGTATTAGAACTAAAGAACCATCCAAACAGGACCATGGATAATGGATAACAACTTATCTTTCTTTGTGCATAAACTTCACCAAACAAAAAGGAGCACAATGCTGGCATTCCCTCTTGGGCACTAGGGCACCAAAGAACCTGGTGCTTTTTAGTATTGGTGCTTTAAGAAGTTTGTCCCATTTTTTTGGCAATGCTGGCAAAACACCTGTCATTGTTAAAATGTTTGCCTATGGTAAAGCCACAGTAATGTAAATGAATAAAATACTGACTGATGTAATTATTGTACAAAAGCATGTTACACAGCCAGGCATTTAATGAGCGCATTGTAGTATACTGTATAGCTATTATTAGTTAGTTTTATTTAGCTGAAATTGTTCTGTCATTTTAGAGATGTTTCACCACTCACCCAAGTAGCTTCCTCGGTTCCTCAGGAGTGTCTGGAACATAAACCAGTATTTAAGGCTACATGGGTAACTTGTGTTTTATCACGGTTCCATGATAGTTTATGTTTTGGGGGGTTTCAAGATGTGCAAGGAGAGATCACACAAACACTTGTAGTTAAAATTAAACTGTATATAACATTTAATTATATAGTAACAAATAAAGATAAGAAATGTAATGATAATGGAAAATGTAACAAGAATGCTCAGCTACAGGAAGAATATAGATGTTCTTTCAAGGATTTCCTGCCCAATTTCTTGGCTTGGCAGATGATCAGGACAGACATATGCTTATCGCAGTTCTGTAGGGACTAACTATTCCACGTTTTGGCTGTAGTATATACAGGATTAGTTTGTAGCATTTGACCAATTGTAAACCCTCTGGAAAGCAACATTACCTTTTTATTGAAGATAGTACACATTCGTGAAGGGGCTAGGGCTTGGTCATTTGATCAGTTTGTAATGACATTTCTATAGTATGAAGTCAGCTAAGGTAACCAGGCTTAGGATTCATTCTTAGATATTGGTGAGCTAATAGCAATAGGAATATATTAAATTTCCCAGTCACAGCTACGGGATAATTGAAAGAGGGTACAGTGTATTATGGGCAAAGTGTGTTTTTTGATAACCTGATCAACACCCTACATCTCTTAAATGCTAAGATTTGTTGTTGTATTCCATATAGGAAAATATAAAACAGCACCATTTGTGAAATGGAAGTTAACATTTTGGAATTTATTGAAACTTAGAATACTAAAAAATAAATTCTAATACTTCTTTTTACCTTAGAATTTTCTACAGGATCTTTTTTCACAACACAAAAAATGTATAACTCCTGATAAACTGGATGAGTACACTGATACTATGGTAAGTTGCAGCTTTTTAGATATATAGTTTATGTCTTTATTGTTTATATTTGTGTATGTTCAAAGTGAAAAACCACTCACGTTCAAGGCTTGTAAAATTGTCATATGTGTCTGCCGTTCTAGGTTGTTGCAAATTTAAAGAGAATCAGTCTGTTAAAAAAAAATGCTTTGGGTATAAAGTACATGCTCCTAGGTGCCTGCACTCACTCAATGCATCCTCTGATAGCCTGAAGTTATGTCTGCCTGCCTTGACAGGCGAAGTGTTGGTTGTGCCAGAGCTTGCCTGCTCACCCTTCCTTTGCCAGCTAGGCCCTTATTATAGTGACTGGCCAGTATCAGTTTTGGAGGTGAAAGGTAGCAGCAAGCTTTGATATTACCCTGAAGTTTCAGAGTTTAATCAATCAGAGCAGCCTGCCATGTGGACGTAACCTCAGTCTTTTGGGGCTGCTGCAGATATACACTGCTCAAAAAAAGTAAAGGAACACTTTCTAATCAGAGTATAGCATCAACTCAATTAAACTCCTGGGATAATGATCTGGTCAGTTAGGTAGCAGAGGGGGTTACTAATCTATTTCAGCTGCTTTTGTGTTAATGAAATTAACAACAGGTGCACTAGATGGGTAACAATGAGACTGTCAGGGCAGGAGCTGAGGAACGGACAGGCAGGCCTAACAATGTAACGCACTGGCTGACGACAACCACCACCCACAGACCGAAGTCCCTCAGGGCGCGGAGTCTAAGTCCCAGGCTGCCCTTCACCAGGGCCCCTGATGGTGGGGATGGACTTGGCGCAGCCAGGAACCAGGTCGCGGCCCCCGAGACACCTCAGCTGCGGTAATGGCCGCCGCCAATGGCGTGTAGCTGGTGGAAGAGACAAAAGAGTAGTCAGACAAGCCGGGGTCAACAACAACAGGACAAAACAGTACAGTACAGCAGACGAGAATCACAGGTCACGAGCCAGGTTCAGCAACAGAGGGTCAGATCAAAGGAGAATACAAAGAATAGTCAAGTCACAAAAGTCACAAGCCGAATCAGATACCAGGAGAGTCACGAGAGTCAGAACAGAGTAATAGCAACACAAAGACACAAGACACAAGTGCAAAGAGCATGTGCGGGCCACAGGCTTATATGTCATCAGCCACACCCCTCTGGGGGATGGACCACAGAAACCTGAAGGCATAAAAGGATTCCACATAATGCACAGCAGAATCCAAGATGGACGCCAGCACATGGAGTAACATAACCTCAGGGAAAAGGTAGGACCTTGACAGAGACGAGCCACAAAACAGAATAGGTTTTACAGGTGGAGGCCATTGACATTTTTCTCCCTACTCATCTTTTCTTACTGTTTTTTTCGCTAGTTTTGCATTTGGCTAGGGTCAGTTTCACTACTGGTAACATGAGGCGATATCTGGACCCTACAGAGGTTGCACAGACAGTCCAACTCCTCCAGGATGGCTCATCAATATGTGCCATTGCCAGAAGGTTTGCTGCGTCTCTCAGCACAGTCTTAAGAGCATGAAGGAGATTTCAGGAGACAGGTAGTTACTCTAGGAAAGCTGGACAGGGCAGTAGAAGGTCCTTAACCAAAACAGAAGGACCGGTATTTGCTCCTTTGCGCAAGGGGGAACAGAAGGAGAATTGCCAGAGCCCTACAAAATGACCCCAGCAGACCACTGGTGTGAATATCTCTCACTGAACAATTAGAAACAGACTTCATCAGGGTGGCCTAAGGGCCCTACGTCCTCTAGTGGGCCCTGTGCTCACTGCCTGCCACCATAGAGCTCGATTGGCATTTGTCATTGAACACCAGAACTTGCAGGTCCACCCCTGGCACCCTGTGCTTTCCCAAATGAGAGCAGATTCACCCTGAGCACATGTGACAGACATTAAAAGGGTCTGGAGAAGCAATGGAGAATGTTATGCTGCCTGTAACATCGCTCAGTATGACCGTTTTGGTGGTGGGTTAGTAATGGTCTGGGGAGGCATATCCATGGAGGGATGCACAGACCTCTACAAGCTAGACAACAGCACCCTGAGTGCTATTAGGTATCAGGATGAAATTCTTGGACCCATTGTCAGACCCTACACTGGTATAGAGGGTCCAGGGTTCCTCCTGGTGCACGACAATGACTGGCCTCATGTGGCGAGAGTATGCAGGCAGTTCCTGGAGGAGGAAGGAATTGATACAATTGAATGGCCCCCATGCTCGTTTGACCTATATCCAATAGAACACCTCTAGGATATCATGTTTTGGTCCATCCAATGCCACCAAGTTGCACCTCAGACTGTCCAGAAGCTCAGTGATGCCCTGGTCCAGATCTGGGAAGAAATACCCCAGAACACCATCAGTCATCTGTATAATTTTTTCACTTTGATTTTCAGGGTGTCCTTAAATTTAGTCCTCTGTAGGTTGATCATTTTCATTTCCATCAAACAATGGGGCATCCTTATGTTCCTAACACATTACCCAGTCCATATCAGTATAGATATCCAGCATGATATTTTTCCCCATTGAGAGCTGATGTGTTTTCTAAAATGTTCCTTTAATTATTTTGAGCAGTGTATGTACCTACAGCAGTTTTTAAAACCTTTTCATTCTTCTAAGCACCAGTGTTATGTATAACATAGATCTTACACTGAAGCATGATTTCTTTTTGTGAAGAGCTACCCAAGGTTACTAATGGATGCATTAGTATTACCCAAATGTATACTTTATTTGTGTTGTCTCAATGGAGCAACATTATCAACATAAATGCATACGGCATAAAGTGCACAGGAGTTGGAGACAGACTTACCCTTCCAAAAACATCAAAACATCTGAGATACTGTAGATTCTATGCAAAATACATAGAGTTATAATGGGCGATGGAGGTGGCTGTGGTGTGTCAAGAGAAGATGGGCGAAGAGGAAAACCATGTGATGCAAATTAAACCAAGGCAATCAAAGTGCTTAATATGGTTGGGGGGAGCATTCTGTCCTCACCGTCCAAAATAGACAGAGGGTAGTGAGAAAACAATAAGGCAAAAAGAGAGGAAGGGGTAGGGGTTCTAGTATAAAAGAAGATGGGTGCAGTTGGAGAATTTGATCCAGGTGCTCCATGTCAAACTAAAGGCTGAGTAGCGTTCACATGGATTCTTAAGTCTTCTATTCTCATGATGAGATTGAGTTAATTAATTTATACTCTAACATGTGGAATGGTTGTTGTTCTGCAATGTCTGTAGATCAGCAGTCTCCCTACAGAGAGGAGAACCTTTTCTGCTGCCTTCAGAAGTTCTGGGATTATGGAAAGTAGGGTTACATCAGGAGTCTCTGACCATTGCATGATTTGGTTGCATAGGTTAAAAGATGGAAAGGCTGAATGTGAAGGCCGCTCTGCCAGATGTGGAGAATAGTGCCATCTGCATCTCTGCATCTCCAACAGCATCCAAAAAAGGGAAATATTTTGTGCAGAGACACTACCAGATCAATATCTTAAATTTGTATTTCTCTCTAGTGCTTGGCTTACAATGCTAAATTTAAATTTCGGCAGGAAAAATTAATTCAGACAATCTTAGTCTGAAATAGAATGCCTCAGTTCCCTCTCCCATTAACTAGTATAAGAGGGTCATTTTAGGAACACATGCCTCATCTCCAAGTTGTAGAGTTGAGAAATAATATGTGGACATTCAATATGAATTAGGCATAGCTTCCCAACAGGTGTCAGTTCCCATGAAAGTGAACCAAGGTTGCTGAGATAAGTGTGGAAGTGTCTACGTTGGAAGTAGGGATGAGGATTGTCTTTGTGGCCAGGGTTTTCATTGAACTTTGTATATTCTCGATTCATGGACAAGGCAAATTGTTGGCTAGATTTGGTCTGTTCACTCGTGCAAACCTCTGGCAGCTACTGCAGCGGGAAGTGACATTATTGACCTTTAATCCCTATCAAAAGAGCTGCTGCACACTGGATAGCTTTTTTTCCTTTGTAAATATCCCTAGGGGGCATGACTTTTGTTTAATTCTGTGGGATCCTCGTGCCATTTTAAAAAAAAAAAAAAAACAAGCTGGCAGGGAAATGTCATTTAACGGCAATTTTTTTTTTTCTAATTGTCATATGCTGAACTCACGAGTCCTCCAAAATCCCATATCATTCAACAATACCAAAATACAGAGCTTCCAAAATAAAGAACAGGAGGTGTTACCAGTATGTACTTATCTAATATACCAACTCTGGCATATAAAAAGCTGGCTTAGACCCAACTCCATAATGTATCCTGAAAAATATTGTAGAATACTGTAATACTATTTCTGGGAACAGTCTGGAACCATCAAATTAACATACAGTAGTATACAAAGTGTGCTATAGTGAAAATAATTTAAAACAAACAGAAAAAAGAGGAACACAAACACATTAAATAAAACCATATTGGCCAACACTGTTAAAAACAAATTAAACCTGGTCACTGCTCTCTCCCTATAGGTGTTCATATCAAGTGGAACGTTGTTAACAAACTCTTGAGAAACAATTATAAATAGAACTTATACAAAGTCCCAATAACATGTAGGATCAGATGGCATACTGTATATTTAGTTCCTCAGTTGCTGGGGTATGTAGTTGAAATACTGTATATTCCCAAAGCACTTATCAGAGATAAAAAGTTATCCACAATGAGATTCAACTTATGGGTGGTGCCTCCAATTGTTATTCCATGAATGGAGCTGTTGGCCTTTAGAACATTGGCCAGATGTTCCATTGCTAAAATGTACAGGGATGGGGGGCAGCTCTCACAGGTTCCATTAGATATTGTTACCTAGTTGAAGAGGAGTCCATTTACTCTAATACTGGTGTTGGGAGAGGAGTATTGTGCCATTATTTAGGTGGTACGGTAGGCAAGACTATTTGGTTACAGTGGCAAGAGTAAAACCCCAGTCTTGGTGATCAAACATCTTCTCTGCATCTAAGGACAATAGGCAAAGGGATTGCTCATGTTTATGGAAATAATTTATGAGGGTGATGGCTTTAATCTTGTAATTTTGTGCTTCACATTATGGAGCAAATCCCTCTGTTCTGGGTGGATTATCTTAGATCAGAAGCATTATATGGCTGTAGTCATCACATAGATCTTTAAATTAACATTACTCATTGAGATTGGTCTAAAACTATAGGTCCTACAATTGCTTTGGGAAGGGTCAAGAGTCTTAAATGACATTAATGTTGTGCAAAGTATTTATGCCAGTATTTCCTTGATTTATTTATAAATTGAACTCCTTTTGCAATTAGTTATGCTTCCAACAGTCTTTGGTCATAGTAGGAGTATCAAAAGCCTTTACAAGAACAAAAACCACATACAGTGGACAGCACATCTTGTTTAGTGAAAGATGTCACAGCTGGATATAAGGGGTCAGAGAGTCTAAATAGTACATATGACAGTTCTCACACTGATGATATTTACTTGGTAATAAACAGTATGGTACTTTTTTAAGATGGACATCAAATATACCATTACATTGTATTTATCATTTTTTTCAGTGTACTGACTGTATAATTTGTGCCTTTTAGATGAACCTGTTTGATAAGAATAAAGATGGTCGTTTGGATCTAAATGACTTAGCAAAGTGAGTATTTCACTGTACTGAGTCGCAATCTATTAAATGTACTCTAAATATTTCATCTTACAGAGCAATTTTAATGGTACATGGAAAATAAGGCATAGAGAATTATTAATACAATCACTATAAAAGCAGTAAAATTAACTTATAACATTGGTTTCTGCATGCCATAACCTTGCTTATTCATATTTGTTCTCTATGGATGGAGAGTGATTAGAAAAGCTATTACTGGTTGTCTGTCATTTGATATGGCCTTCATCTGTGCTACTATAAAAACAAATCTTTATTTGTCCTATATAAATGCATTTCATTATGCTGCATATGAAATAAAATATTAGCAAACCATTGGCAGTACAGACTTTTTTGAATAGTACATGTAAATAAATTGAGATTTAGTATTTTACTAGGCTATTTTAAAGACGTTTTAATTTCAATGTATTTAATTTACTTGTTTATTTATGTTTTATCTCAAGGATTTTAGCACTTCAAGAAAATTTTCTGCTCCAGTTTAAAATGGATGTAAGTACAGCAGCAGCATATTACTGGTATATGTGATTAAATATCCAACTTGTCATAGTAAACTACTGACAGGTTTTGAATGAATTCATACATATTAATTCTAAGCATTTAAAGTGGTTCTATAGTCATGAGGTTTTTTTTTACATTAATGCATTACCCGCAAGACAAAACCTTCACCTTGCTGTTTGTTTCCTCCTTCTCCCTTCTCTTGATCCGGCACTGTGCCCGTCTGCAACAGTACTAGTCTTTCTCAGAGAACAGACTGATAGCAGCTGGAGCCATTAGTTCCTGCTGCTATCATTCAAATTTAGTGAGGGTGGAGCAGAGGTCAATGCCAAGACATGCTGTGTGTGTGCATCTATGGATGCACACAGCCCGGCTTTGGCGCTCAACTGAGCACATGGCTTTCTATGGGGGCACATCCAAAAGAGGAGGATCGGACAGTGCCAGGAGGGGACCCCAGAAGAGAAGGGAAGGGCTGCTCTGTGCAACATATTTGCAAAGAGCAGTTAAGTATAAACCTCTTTTTTAATTCTAGGTAAAAAATATACAAATCTTTAGTAGCACTGTAATCCTTATGCCATTCAATAGCTTCTATTTATTAGACCAGATTCTGCAATGCCAGCTGCTGATGAATACTTATTTCCCAACATATTGTTTTTATGATTAGTAACGGATGTGGATGGGTATCGTGAAATTAGAAAAATATTTGTATAGTGAGCAAAGTTTATGTAGACACATCTGTGAAACTACATTTGATGTACAGTAACAAAAATGTAGCCATGTCTGTATTTGTCATATGTGAATTTACATTGCAGTTATAGTATGAAATGTAAAATGGTATGTGCTGTACCAATATAGTAAAAAAAGTTAAGGGTGTGGATGGATGGACGGAGAAAGACTAGGGGGTCTGTTTTATCAATGTTTTACTCAATATTCAGATACATTTTATCCAAGATTTACACCTATTTTCCAATTGAAAATGTGTGAATCATGGATGAAAGTGATGAGAATTTACCACCTAGGTTTTGTTGAATAAGATGCAAACTTTATGTTTGCCACTGTGCTTTGGACCTTGCAGTCCATTTTACAAATGACTTCCGTGGAAATTCTTCATCTGAAACTAATCAAATCTGAAAATAGAGGTTCATTATAATAAGGTACATTTAAACTGTGTTTTAGAACATTACTGGTAATTTAAACAATAGCAAAAGAAAGAAACAGGGGTTTAAAATTGCTTACCTACCCCATTTTCCCTAAAGATATGCAGCAACACACAAAAAAATTCAGACTCATCCAAGGCACGTAGCCTCCTTGGCGGTATTCCCGAGTGTAGCTCGGGGTAAAGTTTCAGTACCACAAGCAGTAACCCCGAGCTACACTCGGGCTTACCATGCGGCGCTGCTCCGGGATCTGTTCTTCTCTTAGCTTGTCCTGTGCTCCCGCAATGTCCCTCCTGCAGTGTTCCCTGTATTGTCCTCCGGCGGATACCGGCATCTGTCTTCTGGGCTCCGTCCCCTGCGACGTTGGGACGTACGGGAACGGAACGACGAGAAATTTGAAAATGACAAAGTGACATTCACTAAATTCACTAAAATAACATAGTAAAACATTCCTGTATCAAACCATTTCACATACATTTTGTCCCGAGTGCTTTGTCCTGTGCTCTGCCTACATTTTTACTGTTCTTATTGCCTGGAAACTGAGAATTGTCCATGGCGTCCAAAAAGCGTCCCTTTAGGTCAAGATCGGTTTTAAACCAGCTAGAGAACAGAGATAGTAAATTAGAACTACTTGCAGAATTGAGTGATAATGATTCGTGGGGAAATTCGTCATCAGACACTGAAAACGATTTTGCGACTTTGCTCAGTGATGTGCAAACTTGGCGCTCTATTTCAAATCTCAGGGTTTTTGGTTTGATTATATTATTGAATTAAATGTATTATTATTATATATATAATATTTTTATGATTATTTATTATATTATAATTTATGATTTCGTGTTTCAAATTTTAACATACATGGGATGTTTACTAGACTCTTGTTCGGTCAGATTTCAGTGAGTTATTCCTAAAAATTACAGGCCTACAATAAAAAAACACATATTTCCATGCAAAAAAATGTATGCTTTGAGCACAGAAATATGGACATAATCAGACCGCTAGGGAGGTTAAAGACCATCAGTGTGTCTGCAGCAAGAAAAAATTTCATTTTTGCATTATTTATTTACTGCCAATTGACCCACCTTGTTCCCCTTTCAAAACTGCTCCATCTCCTCCAACAACTAAGCCATCATTTTTACTGTCTTTCAGATCATTTAGGAAGACGTCAAAAACGATGTGTAAAAATTATGTTTGACTGAAAATTATCTTCAGCAGATAGTCGTAGACAGTTGTGAAAAAGGTGCTATGAAAGCTGTGTAGAAAAAAAAGCAAACGATACAAAATATTAAATACAGAATAATAAAAACAATAGCAACTCTTTCAAAGATATGAAGACAAAAACACAACAATACACAAAGCTTTTTATATAAAATATGCTATGCGACTGTAGCAGCATTTTCACAAAAATCATGAATAACAGCCTTGCAAGTGTTTTCATAATGTGCAAAATGTTATTTTCTGAAATTTAAGTTGTCTTGCACTATAACTATACACTATAACATTTATTTGGCATTTATTAAGAAGAAAATATACCCTAAGAACATTCTGTCCAAAGAGAAAATTCCTAAGAACATTCAATAAGAAAACATACCCCAAGAACAGTTGATTTTACCCCCATTTGCACAACCACTACAGTTTTTTACATTGTGTGGAAAAAAATAAAAATAACAAGCAAACGCGGGTTAATTCACACAGAATAAAATGTTCATGCAGTTTTGCTTGATGATTAGCTATGTAGGTTTACTTTTTATTATTATTACGGGTACTTCTATAGCACCATCAATTTACACAGCGCTTTACATATATATATATTGTACATTCACATCAGTCCCTAACCCTCAAGGGCTGTACAGTCTAAGGTCCCTATCTTACATTTGTACATATACTAGGGCAAATTTAGACAGGATCCAATTAACCTACCAGCATGTCTTTGGAGTGTGGGAGGAAACCCACACAGGCACAGGGAGAACATACAAACTCCAGGCAGGTGGTGCCATGGTTGGGATTCAAACCAACGACCCTAGTACTGCCAGGCAGAAGTGCTAACCTGTTAGCCACTGTGCTTTTTGAGATTGATGCATCTAGCCAGCAATGTGTTTTAACTCCAGAAAAAAAAACCTACAACTCTAGATTTCCAATTTGACATGTGAGGCCTAATACACATGATTGCCTTTACTATTCACTTGTGTTAAATGAACTGGACAGTATGAGCTGCAGCACACAGCTTTTTACAGTCTGACAACCTACATAAGGTCCTCTCTATAAACAGTAATGTTTACACTGAAAGGAAAATTCTGTTTGTAAGTCAATCAATATGTTATCTGCAATCTTTACTGACAAAAGAGTTTCCTAGAGACAAAACACAGTATTTTAACAGTTTATTTAACCACCTAACAACCACCTGCCCACAATATACTGTGGACGGGCAGTCGCTGTAGGCAAAGCGAGGTACCCGTACGTTGCTACCTACTTCCGTTTTTCAGGCATGTGTATGTGCACCCCTCAGCCATCTGATTGGCTGTATACAATCAACACAGATTGACACTGTTGACAATCAACACAGAGCTCTGTACAGAGGGAATGATCTCTGTGTTTCTCATCCGTGCAAAGCAGAGATGAGAAACGTAGAGATCTAGTAGTAAAAACAGCACACTTTACACACATTATACATAGTTAGGCACACATTTAACCCCTTGGTCGCCTTAGATGGTAACCCCTTCCCAACCATTGTGATTAGTACAGTGACGGTTTATAATATTATCAGTGATCTGTATTAATGTCACTGGTGATGTCAGTGGCAGTTAGTTAGTTCCCCCCCAGCATCAGTTAGTGTCAGATTGCCCACCGCACTACCACAGTCCCATTATAAGTCGCTGATCACCGCCATTAGTAGTATAAAAAAAAATAAATGAAAATTCCAGTAGATATACTATAGTTTATAGGAACTATGACATTCACACAAAGCAATCAATATACATTTATTGGGATTTTTTATCAATAACATGTAGTAGAATATATTTTGGCCAAAATGTATTTGATTTTTTTTTTTTTAAATTAGATATATTTTATAGCAGAAAGTAAAAAATATTGTGTTGTTTTAAAAATGTTCGTTCTTTTTTGTTTATGTAGCAAAAAATAAAAAGCCCAGTGGTGATCAAATATCACCAAAAGAAAGCTCTATTTGTGTGAAAAAATTATATAAATTTTGTTTGGGTACAGCATTGCATGACAGCGCAGTTACCAGGTAAAGTGGCGCAGTGTGGTATAGCAAAAAATGGCCAGGTCATGAAGGGGGTAAAATCTTCTGGAACTCAAGTGGTTAAGGTAAACCTGTGCTGTACTAAAACTCTATAAACTAAGCTTACTGTTGAATAGAAGGTTTTATTAGGTGCAATATCTTACTCGGACTGTAGAGTAAAAGTAGAGTAGAGTAAAAGTTGGCTTGATGTTAAAAAATCCAGACTTCTTGGTATGTGGTAAGCAGACCCCCCTACTCTATGTCCTAGAGCAGTGCAAAGTTCTGAAAGCCTTATTGCGGAAACCCAGCATTGCCATATAGGAGGTGGAAAGCATGCCAATGTAGTTTTTATCTTTTAGAAAATGAGTATTTGTCTATAAATTTCAGGGTGGCTAAGGCCACACTTTGGTGATTTTTATTTTAACTAGATTGCTTTGATTGGCCTTTGGACCATGTCAGCAAGTTTATAAGGTCCAATAAATCCACTTTTGAATAGGCCAGCTCCCTCACTATAAAAGTGGGGGTTCGGAGAAGGGATAGTGATTGAAGCTGTTGTAGGGAAGTGGAAAGCTGACAAACTGCATGAGGGGAAAAATTAG